TAGCTATTAGCTTCAAAGCCAAATCCTTTCCGTTTTTCATTCGGCGAGAACAAGCGACAAGAAAATAGTCACTTAGAAAACATACATATATAGGGCGTAACTTACAAACAACGAGATGGACATGTCTCGTGTATGAATAATAAGAATTCGTGCTCTTGCCAAGTAATATACTCTCGGTTACTTAAAAAAATATTATAAAACACTTCATAGCGCTACGCATGCACTGGAGCACTTTCGTGTTTACTTTAAGTCGTCAGTAAACGAGATACCTTTAACAGAAGTAGACGTTATTAAAAAAACCTAAAGTCTTTCTTATTTATACTTTTACAATCCTTATGAATTTAAATTATAAACTGTAAGAAAAATATTATTTCTTTTAGTTATCGTTCAGTGCCTGTGTTAGAACTAAATCACGTTATATGAGTAGAAAATGTATATAATGACTTTTTTGGGTTTTTTTTCCAAAAAACGTTTTTTTGTTTTCCCCCAAAAAAAAAAATTTTTTTTTCCCCCCCCTCCCCCCAAATTTTTTTTTTTTTTTTTTTTTTTTTTTTTTTTTTTTTAATATTTTTCCCCCCAAAAAAAAAAAAAACCCCCCTTTTTCCCCTTTTTTTTTTTTTTCCTTTTTTTTTTTTCCCCTTTTTTAACCCCCCCCCCCCCCCCCCCCCCCCCCCCCCCCCCCCCCCCCCCCCCCCCCCCCCCTTTTTTTTTTTTCCCTCCCCCCTCCCTCCCCCTCCCCTCCCCCCCCCCCCCCCCCCCCGGGGGGGGGTTTTTTTTTTTTATGTATATAAAGTAATTTGTAAACAATCTATCTCCAATTAGCTTATTTCTTGTTGGCTGCAACAAACTTTTAAAGGCTTTACTGTGTATGTGCGCTCTTCGCGAATACGGTGCCCGCGACAAATATTAAAATCATAGAACTCTTGTCTTTGATGTTCGCGCGTGACAGCCTCAAAGCGGGAGCCCTTTTGCACTACCCACGTCGTTGCGCCTTTTACTATGACGACTCCCCGACTAGCCGTCACCAGCAATTACGCAGAAGAATTCGAGTGTTAGGATAAACCGGCCGAATGTGCGGGGGTTATTAAAATCTTAATGAATCAGTAGAAATAGACACGTCTAAACTTGGTACTTAAAGTTCGAGTACAACACGATTTAAAATGGATAAAAAAACAAAGGCCAAAGATATAATTGTCAAAAAAAGGAGATTTTTATAAAAAATGCAGACCTTAATTTATCAGTCATTATTAAATTAAAAATTAAAATTATTAAAAAATTGCGTAACGTGTCTATAGTTTACGCGAGTAGTACACATTTAAATAAAACACTTTAGCCGTGACCACGGCTGCTGCAAAGCATCCGAAACGTCGGGCCGAAGTAAAAAACCATTTTCAAATATGTTTAACTAATATATCGCGTTTTAAACCGTTAAAGTGTTTTTTTTATTGCGTAACGTTCCAAAAAGCTTTTAATTTATTTATATGTGATAATTTCTGTATTTAATAATTTAAAACTTATAATTAAAATACAATACAATCCCTACACAAAGTTGAGTCAAAAACAGAAGCATAACGCATTTCTAAACACACAACGCACAACACCAACGCTAAATGCCAAATCTACAAATGCGCAATTCCACTGTTCTACGAATTCATAACATACGTGCTTTCAAATGTCATGCGGTATTCTTTCTTTTAGTTTTAGTAACATCGATTTATAAAATATTCTACGGAAACGTATGAGTAATCATATGCATCTGTTAAATATGTAACATAATGAACCTAACTGCGATTTTTCCTCGACTTAACGTCCGTTTCCCGTCCCGTCTTCGACAACGGCACCTCGAACACGTGACGGGTGAATGGTCGGGCAGCACGAGTGCGCGGTTTCGGAGCCAGTTATAGTTTTTTTATTGCTCATCTCTAATTATGCGACATTCACCACGTGTCAAGGTGGACCGGCTGGAGCGCGTCAAGTACGTGACGATACACCCTGTTATTCATACGGGAACCGCCTGTATTTCATTTCTTTTGCCATTTGTGACCTTTTCGAAAAGACGACTTTAGGCCATATGCAAATTTGTAGTATGGAAATCAAAAAATCTAATTGTATATTAATTCTTAAATCAAAAAACGATGTTCTCATTTCGCCTTGAATTAATTCACTCGTTCGTCCTTTAAATGCAAATCACTTACTTAAACGGCTAATATTTCACATAATATAATAATAATAACGACGCATGATGTAATTTATAACAATAATCTCAACGAAGATCTATACTTTGCGTTTCGTACGCGACTAATATGCGGGAACTAGCAATAAACCCCCGTTCCTATATTGGGATATATCAGGATGAGTGGAAAAAAGTGATGATGTGACTACTAAAACGAAACCATCTACCAATCGAACAAATTACGACAGCGCTTTTGAAATAGATGTGGCATTTTGCAGCGAAACTAAACGGCGACGAGGAGCCGCACGTACGTCGGTTTGTGCGCGACTAGCGCGTTGCAAAGACGGATTATTATTTTACATCGAACTATAGACAGATCGTCGCTTGTTATGCTTCATATGTACTATTTTGAGGGTTACAATCCTACTTCGAGGCCATTACTATTGACATATGAACATCAGAGTAAAAATGTTAATGATGATCGTAACTCTATCAAAATTCAAACCCGATGGGCGATTGAGGTTAAATTAACGATACGCCTTAAAGGATTTCCTTAAACAATATTAGTGAACAACGAAACCGGTTCTTTTATACTTCACTCCTTGATATCGGTAAAAAAAAATCAGACGCCATTTTCTAGTGATATAAGATTTTTAAATAATCAAGTGATAACATGGCCTGTTTCAATTCAAGTCGACATCCTTTAAGCGATCATTTCAGTTAGACCGGTATACGCGCATGTGGCTGATGAAACCTATTTTACACTACAACGGCTGTAAGGCATTTTAAAGTACATTTCCATCGCTCGGACAAATAAGTAAATAGCGTGTAAGAGAAAATGTTTTTATCAACCATTAAGGATTTTTTTTTATTTTTATTCATTTCATATCAGAAATAATCGCAAATGATCTTTTGTCTACAAGTCCGATAGCGGATAGAGCATATCTTTAACTGGAAGATAGTCTTTTGGAAAAGGTCACGCGAGCAGGTTATATGCATATCATTTTATAACGTCCCCAAATCATATTATATGTCATGTAATTATTGTATCTTTACTGGTTTTGTGAGTATTTTAGTGCTTGTCTTCAATGCTAAATTATTCTAAGATCAACGCGAAACAAAAAAAATCTCTGATTTGAGATTGCAAACGACGAAATTTTAATACTAAAATGAGATATAATCGCGGTGGTTAACAAATGTATTATTATTCGTATTTAACATAGCACTTTCAATGAGATGTAAACTGTAACACTGACGGACCCTTTAATGTAATGTACATTAAAATGCTTTTATTTGTCAAAAAAGCGATTTTACTTTTACAAGACCTATGAGATAGATCTCAATGTTTGTGCCGCTACTTATTACAATAAATACGAAATTAACGGCCTACGTATCGAGCCAAGTGTAGGCAATATTTACATTCAAAGGATGAGCCCGACGAAAAGCCAAATAAGATTACAAATTGCTCATAAAAAACGTGGGCTTCTTAAAAATGCGAACCTTGAATAAATTATCTTGACACGAGAAATTTCGCTGAAGTAATGTTCGTAAATTGTTCGTGTTTATGAACACACTGCACCTAAGGTCACGTGTTTGACGATTAAGGCGAGAGAGTCGACGCGACCGATAACTTTTCAAAAGAGTTTAGCACCATTTTGAAGTACAATTATTACATGTCGCCGAAAGTCGCCAATCGGCGCATAGTTAGTTACGTTAAGAAAAGTGTGCACAGTGTATTCATTGTACCCTCGACCAGTTGGCTGACCTCTGTGACATAATATGCCTCTTCAAATATCGCGCATTTCTATCGCATTTCGTTGCGCACTTAAGCAATATAGATTATTATTGTGATGCAATAACTTAATAATCGTCTTAGTATACAGAATTCTTCATTGTTTGCTATTGAATACGGTGTATATTACGATATTAGATAAGTAAGCTCCTGCAATATTATAGCATATGAGATATAGCAGAATCTATATTAACATACATAGGTAAGTCCTAATCCGGAAAGGACTACGAAATAAGTCTTAGGACGTCCCGACGAGAATACTGCACCCAAACTGTGTGAGAAAATCATATATCAATATGAACACGTTTCGATCTCTCCCCCCCTTCGCCCTCAAGGGAATATCTCTCGAAAGAAAATTACGAACTTTTAGAGAAAGACTGGCCACCGAATGATCTGGCTAAAAAGGACCGACGGCAAAGCCGAAGTAACGAGAAAAAGTTTAATCACGAGTTCAATAATAAACACGAATAGAGTATTCCACTTTATTAAACTACATTACGATGTTTACTTTTAAAATTTATATGAAAATGGCTTAGATGGTGCTAATTTTCCGCCATATACAAACGATTGCCGCCGTCACAGTGATTCCTATAACATTTTCTATAACCTATAAATTCGGCTTCGATTAAAGACCAACATTCCGTCGGGCACTATTTCTATAGTAGTCATGTTTCCAGTAAAATTGTTCTGTTATATAAACAAATCTTGTTCTTGGATTCGCACAATTAATATGATGAAGTGAGGTGACATTGAACATTGGAGTCTTACGTAACAATGTCAAGTGATAAGAGAAAGTGTAAGCCTTAAAACTATCACAGGCTAAATACCATTTTAGGGTTTAAAATCGTATCATATTTATCCGAGTAACCGGACATCACATTACCTAAGTCCACCGAAGACGCCGCTAGCTTCAAATGCCACGACGCGTCCTCGCGAAGCGATGACGGTCCGTATAAAAAGCCGAATCACAATCGAACAGGCATCAGTCGCTCCATTGCTTTGTATGTAACACACGACCACCGAATCCTTCTCAAAATGAAATCGGTACGTCTTTGCAACGAATGTGGAATTCCAGCCACCCACTCCTGGACTTGTCATAATTTCTTTGTTTTTCCAGTTCATCGTATTCGCCCTGATCGTCGCCGCGGCCGTTGCCGCCCCCGCCAACCCGGACGGTGATGCACAGATCATCAAATACGAATCCGACAACATCGGACTCGACGGTTACGGCTTCGAGTGAGTTAACCAGAAATTACTGAAATACCTTTTCTGTCCTTCACAATATAAAGACGTAAAATAGTAATAAATGATATTTCGTCACTAGAGTGGAGACCTCCAACGGAATCAAGACCCGGGAAGAAGGTCAGCTCCAGAACGTGGGAAGCGAGAACGAAGCCTTGGCGGTAAGGGGCGAATTCTCGTACGTCGGCAACGACGGCCAGCTCTACTCGGTCTCCTACACGGCCGGTGTGAACGGCTTCGAGGCTTCCGGAGCTCACATTCCCAAAGGAAACGAATAAACCAATCTAATCTAATCGTTATCTAGTCCAGAAATACTCCAACCCCCTCCCGTCCCAGTTAAAGCGTTAAGAGATTCTGTGATACCGTCCCGACTCCTACATTATTGTTAAACAAAGTTTATTTAAATACCACACCGTCTTTTCTTTAACCTTCGGCCGACGTTTTCTAGCCTAAACGTTTTTAACTTATTTATTAAAATGAAATTGTCAAAGTTGATGTGAAGCCACTATGCTAATATCTGTGGCCTTCGTATCTTCCCTCGGCAATATCATCGAATTTAATTGCTGCGGACTAAGAACGTTTATCGACTTCTGATTTTTGACATCGTTGCGCTGCAACAGACAGAAACTAATCCAATCACATATTTTGAAACGCCGCAATTAATGTTATGGATTCTTTGTTCTTCTTCCAGTACCTCTCCTATATTACATTGTTATGGTTTACTGGACAGTAAATATCAATTGCTCTAAAAAGATCTCGTTTAGTCTATTAAAAAATATATCACTTTGAACTCGTAAATTTGCAAATCTGAGTCGTGAAATTTAATGTTGACCATTTTTAAGAATGCACAAACCAGACTTCTATCTACTCGATACGACGTATCGGTTCTTGTAGCAATTTTATATCCGTGGTTTTAACTTGTGTGTATTCTCCACAGATCATTAGCTATATTATAATATGAAAAACCATAACATACATTTAGTATGCAGTCTTTGCTTTTCATAATAAGCTTAAAATCTGGTGGGTACTTAAATGTCGTTTGCAATCAAAGTAAGTGACGAGTCTTTTAAGAACACCCCAGCAAGACGTCCCAGTTTTTATATTTTAGAGAAAATAATAAGAAGAATAATTTTAATTGTCAGTTCATTTTCTGTCTGTTTACCATGAAATGTATCTACTATAGGAATAGGTTCAGGTTAGACTTATATACGGATAAAACTACATCTCATTAATACTAATGAGGCATTTATCATATTCACCTTAATATAAAAATATCATTCGTTCTGTGCCATGCGATAATCTTTTGTAATGAAAGGTAATGAACTATTAATTGATCTATGGTACATAAACCTGTAGTCCTTTTTTGTCAATATTATTTGTCCTCTGGTTCGGATAAAGGACGTAGCAAGTCGCCGAATGTACCAATGTCGCCCCTCAATTGTGCAATTCGGCTTGACTATTTTTACAGAAGTAACATTACATTTAACGTAACCATTTTCAAAACTACAAAAGACCGTCAAATGTTTCCAATCGAGGCGATATACATTTTAATGAAGCCGTTTGACTAGACTACCTTCGCTACCTGCGATGACAATAATCGCTAGACATTATTCAACAGACCCATCACTCCAACACATAAAATTTTAATACATCCGAGAATGAATGTGGAAAATATCTATCGACATTATAAGAACTGAGAAATTTGTCAGTAATTTATCAGTGCTGGACTCAGAATTGTTCTTCTCGCTAAGTTACCTCCGCGAACTTAATAAAACTTGATAATCCTTTAGATCTTGGCGAAATATCCACCACTTAGACAGAAGAATTCAAATATGCCGTCGACGTGGAGTCAAATTTTGAAAATAGGCTACGAATAAAATAATCAAGTTAGTGTTACGTCGCACGAGGCCGGTTTAGAGGCGTCTTTAGCGAATGTCAAGGACGTGACTCCAATAAATTATTATTAAATTACATTTTAGCTAATAGCCATACACATTCGGTATTCCGAAGGAAACAATTTATATCTTTGTAATTGTACTGAAGGCCTAAGGGTCGCTTTACGACCGATAAGATGGGATTAGTTAGGAATTTTAGTCATTGATATAAAGTGTCCAATACTCAGACCATTATTTAAAATATAACTAAGTTTTATTTTTTTCTCAACATCTGTAATGTTCACGTGAGATTACTAAATTGGGCAGATCCAAGGACCGTTTGTTTATTTCTCTTGGCAAAGAAGATTTTACGTCCGGCGTAGTTGTATTTTTATAGGTACGTATTAGTATCGTACGGCATCGATACTAATACGTACCTATAAAAAAACAAAAAATGAGTTATAAATGCACATTGATTTTTATTTTAATAACAATACTAGCTCTCGCTATGAAAAGGTTGTAAATTTCTAATTTGAATATTGTCAAATCGAGCAAAACCAGAATGCATCGCAAAAATATGCAAAGTGGACCGACTATATAAAGTCCGGAATCTATATTCTCATCACAGTTATCGTTCTATCCTCACGGACTACTAAGCCACTTCGCCGAAAATGAAATCCGTGAGTAGTGTTTTTAATACAAAATCCATCGGTGATTTTGAATCAGTCCTTTCCTTAACTATACCTAAAAATCTGTGATTCGATTTTTAATTTAACATTGTATTTCGAATTAGGGTTTAGAGAGTTGCATACTCGTTATCCTCGAAAAATCTATTCTAATATTACTTCTTAAGAGCTGTATTAAGTTTGACTTTTTGAAAAGATTTGAAAATAATAAAGCGGGACCTTTTCAGTTCGTCGCATTCGCCCTCTTCCTGGCCGTAGGCGCCGCCATCCCCGTCCAGCAGGACAAGGAGGCGGTCGTCCTCCGTTTCGACAACAACAACATCGGAGTGGAAGGATACAACTATGGGTAAGTGTTGGAAAATTACCTCCTCACTTTTGGCTCTTTCACGCTAATTCACGTATCCGGAAACGTAACTGAGAGAAAAAGACTTGATATTTGAGACATGGAAAAATAAGCGAATTTCTGCAGTTTCCTTTAGCGCTACCTAACTATGGTACATAATAACGAAACGATATTTCTTTTTTCGACAGTGTCGAAACCTCCAACGGAATCCAGACCCAAGAAGAGGGAGTGCTCACCAACGTGGGAACCGAAAATGAGGCTTTGGAAGTCCGCGGTCAATTCTCCTACACCGGTGATGATGGTATCCTATACACCGTCACCTACCAAGCTGGCCGCGACGGTTTCATCGCCAGCGGAGCCCACATCCCCAAGAACCCCCAATAAGCGAGACCCGAGCGATCTAGTTTTCTAGTTAAGACCACCTAGTTGTCCGTGTTGACTGAACTTTTTGTTGAAATAGGATAGATAAATGTTTTTTTGATTCCACACGTCTTTTGTTTGATTTTTGAGAAGTTTACCCGTCTGTGTGTAAGTACTGGCTAATGCCGTCAATGGATACGCTCGAGTATGGGACGAGGCTTATTCCTTACTTCGGATACCAAGGAAAAGGCTACATTCATTGGTTTTCATTACATATATAATTTACGAGGTGTGCCAGCGATTTCGTCCGCGAGAATCATTATTTTGGACATTCACATTAGTTTTTGCAAACCCCGGCATCTTTATAAACTTCAGCTGTTAGCCACGACGTCGATCGCGTCCCTTCCCGTCGTTCTTGCAAGTTAATCTTAAAACATAGACATATACTGCCGCGGACATTTTTTTAGATCATTTATAGAGGAATCATTATTTAGGTATCTTAAACCGTTTTCACAGCGTACGCATCTGAAACCCACAGAGTTGAAAAAATTCCCCCGTTTTGTTTACATTTCCCGCTGTATCTTCGCTTATATGGGGCACAGCCCGATGTTTTATAGAAGAGTCATTGAGTGCTAATTGTACATCTTTTTTAGTTCAAAAAATGTTTTTCCGTTTCACATATCAGAAAAATATTAGTTAATATATTAACAATACAGTTACCCCTTCTAAGAAAAAATAGCACTACCGGCGCTTTACTTGTTTGCTATTCTTCATTTCCTTACAACAACATTTCTTATGTAATTTCAATCGGACATCTATCGCATTACCGATTGCCCGATGTTAAACGAGACCACATTGGTACAGTTAATAAACACGTCTCGAGTAAAAAGCAAAAACCTTTTAAAGCGAGAGCAAACCCCAATGACATCCTCTAAGCCTTTCAGGTGAATGGGAATCTTTCTATCCATTAGCGGCGTTAGTACTCACCTAGATCAAAGTTAATCAAACTGACGCCACAAAGAGTCCAAAAGAGTCCTATTGCGGCAAACAGTACTATAGTGCCACGAGAGATGTAGCTCTACTTTAATTAATTAAATAATTAATCAAATATAGGACGCCCATCCATTTTAGGTAAACAATAACATCGATATCCAAATTTGGAGACCTTCCATAGAATTTATCTTTTGACAAACACCAACTGTTTAATACTTACTAAAGAATGATTTAAGTAATGATACAAACTAAAGAAGAGCAGTATTATATTTGAGCGTAATCGTATAAGTAGAGCATCATTCGGTGCGTCGTCGGTCGCAGACGCGAGATTGCATCTAGAACATCAAAGACTCTTTGACGGGAGGTGTTACGTGGATAAGATATCTCTTTGTTGTCTATCCTCTCAAAACCACCTTGAGAGGATAGACAACTTCAATACATTATAGTCTTCTAATTACTTTCTTGTGTTAAGTTAATTTTATATGACACTGATATTTGTTTGTCGATCATCCAATGGCCGTATCGCCGATTTGAATAGATCTTAACATCACGTTTCAACGTTAAAGAGTCCTCTAACGAAAAATTCCACCCCTCGATCAAACTCTACGTATTTTTGATTGCTCGAAATTTTTTCTCACTTTCGTAAAACGCGTTAAGAGACTTAATGACAGGAAAATTGAAAGTTTGAGCCATTCCGCGCAAAAAGTTCGCTAAGTATCGTAAAAAACCAGTTGCGGAGATAACGCGAAAAAGATATGGAGGTGCGAGCAAATTGCTTTGTACCCTGATGTTGTACCAAGTTTCATCAAAGCTATCGGCCACGAAGGGACAGAATCGTTATAAAGGTAGGTATCCACTATTATAATCAGTTTCTAATGAAGAAATATACCCTAACGGTGCGCAAATGGTTTAGTCTGACATAACAGATTCACTAATATAATCTGTTATAAGTTTGACCCTACAACGCATGTAACCGGGAAAAGGTACCGAAAATGTGTTGTTATGTTTTAGACGCAATATTAAAATGCATAAATCACTGTATCGACACACGTGCTGAGAGATATTCTAACAAATATTTCGCCTGTTCTTTCCTCACACGTTTCTTTATTTTGACGTCCATTGCACAGAAAAGGGCGATTTAAACTTACGTGTAACCGATAAATGTGTCCAGATTCATTTGGTTTCAAATTTCAAATGAATACGATAGCTTTTACAGAGATAGAAAAAATATCACCTACTCTTAACGATTAGGCACTAGGAATTAACCGCATAACTCTGACAATTACATAAGCTACGCCTGTGCACCGTTCTCAATGAACGTCGGACTCCGCTCGTCGCCTGTAAACGGACCGCACCATGTACAAACCATAGATCACGTGCACCTGTAATATTAACGCGAGCCATCACCGGCACACGGCGTCGACACCGACGACACCGAATCACAGCAGTAGCGAAAATAGGCTCAACTACTCGACTTCGTCGGCTCGACAATAACGAGCGAGAAGGTAAGTTAATAAACATAGCTAACGTCGTAAAATAGATAGAGCCACTGGGCTCGAATTGAATAAGGGAATTTTATTTTTACCTTTTCGTCGAATAAACGAAAAAATAGAGAGGCCCCTTTTATTATACCTCTATTAGGACAGGAATGGGCATCGAATTGGCTAATAACCGTTCTATCAGGTGAACGGAATTCACTCTCTTTCGCTTCTTTGTGTTTCCAGTGATGGGCCTTTTGTCGATGTGGATCACGATGTAGTATGCATGTTGCTAACCACTACTCCGGGTCTTGTTCTAGCGCAGTCACAAAGCAGTGCTTACTTAAGAGTTCAACTTAATACTCGTACCTATGTGACATCTCTATTACGCAATAAGTAAAAAATATAGACATAACGCATTTTGATGGGGTCAAATAGTGTAATTTAATATATTGTATCGCTTCACCAAAGTGCATATTCCATTGCAGAAAATATATTATTCTTTGCATTGAACTCCTATAAGTTATCGACAGGAGAGGTACATCACTAATATAATCTTGGGTACGCACAAGTTTGTCCACCTTCATCGCAGTTTTAGTGCTTTCCGCGCTGTTTGTCGACACTCCGTCGCATTAGCACGATCCGATGGAAGATTCGACGAATTTGTATTCTATCGCCTCTCCGCAATTAAAAATAGGCAATCCCTTGTATCGGCTTGCGTAACAAGTGCAAGTCCATAAACAGCATCCGCACACAAAGGAAGGTGCGTATTTCAGTGTAATCGCGTCCATTAACCGTCGGCGAGCAGAACAGAACGGAGTCAACTAGCGTCCGCTATGACCGCGGCCCATTACCATATTTCAGCTGGCCATTTGTCTCCTCGATCACTCACCTGGCCTCAGTGATGTACGAGTCGGTTTATTGCGTTGGCGTTTTGCTATTTGTTTCATTGCCGCGCGTAGCTCCGTATAATTTAGGCGGATAATAGATTTGAACTCGCCCGATACATTTGCGTGGGTTCATACATTTTCACAATTTTCTGCTTTATTGCTCGCTTGTGTTATGTTGAGATCAATAAAACTATGGCATATAATATAACTTACCAAACCAACTTTTGTCCAGTTGCAAGACAAAACGGCATACCGTGTCATTTTTCCAATTTACAAAGGGTTGCAAAAAGTTTCTGATACTTACTATTTATTACATTGTTTGAATGACATACCCACAAACTGTTTTTGACAAAATGGTTTTTGTGTATAGACACATTTTTTCCTCGATATATTATAATAAAGGTAATAAGTTTGTAGGTAGGTATAAGACAAGAAGCCATGCCATTCTGTCCGTTCCGTGAAAGGGTTTGACTAAAACAATAATAATAATAATTTATCATTTCGTACGTACTTGGCTACTGTGAAAAAATATGTTTAATGAATTAAATAGCTTTTCCGTATTCCATATCGGGTACAGTTGCCTGTTTAATGTCTCCAAATAAAATTGAATCTCCAAGTCGTGTATCTGTATGCAAATTGAGAGTAACCAGAGCAGGTGGGCCCACAGAAGCGGTTAGGGTTACAACATTGAGGCTATAGAGGAATCTTGTGCGGAATCGACTCGACGCAGAATTCTCAAGTGACAATTAATTTACAGTATGACGACGAACACCGTGGACCGTTTGGTGTATAGGTAATATAACATAGTATTAAAGAGAATGGATGCGTTTGTTTACATTTCATTTAAGACGACGGAACTGGCCATTTAAATAGTCTTCTGTACTCCTAAAATAGTAAGACATATCCAATTCACAAGCAGTGAAGGGCGTACCTATTAATTCCACTTATATTTCAGCTAAGATTAAAAATGTTAATTTAGAAATTATTCGAGGCACTTTATCTTGAATGTGTTCTGAGGTAGGGCGATGTGTACAGGGTGTTGGAGAATTCCAAATACATTCCAAGATTGAGTAGTTTCGCGATAACTTTTCAACATTTAATTTAACACCTTAAAAGTACTAGATCGTAAACTCTAAGAAATTTTTGTTTAATGGGGATCCATTTTGTTTTATTTATAGTTTTATAGATGTACAAAATCATCGATATAATAAGATAGGAAACGGTTTATAATTTGTTTTGATTTACATCAATGAGAACAGCATGTATGTGGCTGGAGAGTTATCTTCATCAATCTGAGCGGATCCCGCTTAATTCATGCTAACTAATGCACCGCTCGATTCTTCGGGACAACCCTTCACCTGCCGAACTCCGCGTCCCAGTAATTAATGTTAAAGTTCATTTGTTTCAAATGAAGTTATCTTTGTCCCGTCTGCCCGTGTCCGATTATTTCATACGAAACGTGAATAATGTACACTGCGTCCCGAACGACTCCGTGCACGCCATAAAAACTCGGAGCGGGTCATCAATCACGAGCGGAATCAAAATAAAACCGACAAACTATTCGCAAACATCAGGTGCAGTCGGCGGCCTTCGGGAATATTTTAATAGAGTGCCGCGTAGACCCTTCGCAATCATTTTATTTTCATACTCGCTCCCGGAGGCCCCGAAGGTCTACCTCGTGATTTGCCATTCAAAGTGCGGCACGTGACGGCGCATCAGGTATCGGGATCGTTTCGGCCGAAGCCGTGTTTAGGGTTAAGATAATACTCGATTCAATATCTGCGACCGAAAGTGAGCGCGCGAACGGAGCCGTCGTGCAATTGCCAAGATGTGACTAATTATGCAAAGAGGTGTGATATCGCCCGACGACGATAGAGTTTCGAAGAAAATCGTGTATTTGGTCTTTATTGTGATTTCTCTTAGTTAAAAAAATATATACACAGATGAAAAAGTTTAATCGCGTTTCAATTTCATTCTGTGGATTTCCGAATATCCAAAGTTATGGCTTACTTGGCTTAGCTTAAGCGACAGCGCGTCTCCATCGAGTCATCATAAACAATAAAAACGCACAACGGTTATCGTACTTCGTTAAGAAACGACACTTCTCTACATAACTATACAAGTTTGTATATAATTACGCCGTTTACACTAAAAACAGCTGCGCAAATGTTTTTTTATCAACGATATATACTACGAACGGATCTGTTAATGTACATCGACCCGACATTACCGACGCGTTACACTTAGTTTAGCCCACTCTTGATTGATTACAATTTTCAACGTTGTGTGAATAAATATTTATATTTAGATAGAGATTTTGCTCTAGCCAATTAGCATGGAGACCGCAGCAATCGTGGCCCAGACCCTGACCGTCCAAAGAGCATTGAGCGTCCTGGCTACTTCGCTGGCTCTCACCGCGTACCTATTTCCAAGACAAGCGGACGTCTTCGGTCAGTATACTCTCAAGTGACTGTTCCGGCGAGTGAACTCCATATAATTTTTTTTTTATGGTAAATTAGTAGATAAAGAAGAGTTCGACTTCATCATAGTAGGCGCCGGCTCGGCCGGGTGCGTTTTAGCCGACCGTCTCACTGAGGATGGACACTTTTCCGTACTTCTCCTGGAAGCGGGAGGCGATCCGCCTTTAGAGTCATTTGTAAGTTTAGCACAAGGATTGATCTCTAGAGTACCTACAGTTATAAGACTTTCTGCTTCGAGTTTATTTGACTTTTTCAGATTCCGGCTCTCTTTCCCTACTTACCAGGAACGCGCTATGACTTCAATTACACATCGGAGAATGACTTCTTCACGTATCAAACGCATAGAATTCGAGCAGTAAATTTGACGGCGGGTCACGTCCTCGGCGGTGGCAGCAGTGTCAACTTTATGGCCTACGTCCGCGGCTGTCCCGACGATTACGATCACTGGGCACAATACCTCGAGGATGCCACCTGGAGTTGGGATCACGTTTTGCCCTACTTTATCAGGAGTGAAAAATTGAACAGCCCGGAGATCCTATCGAGTGCAAATAGAAAATATCATGGGACCCGAGGTTTTCTCGGTGTCACTAGAGAGAAAAGGCCCGAGATTTATAGGTATCTCGATAGCTTCGAAGAACTAGGAACTCCCATAGTATTCGACATAAACGGCCCCCCGGCTTAGGCTACACGCCACAACTGTATACTATTAGTGACGGGGTACGCCAGTCGACAGCGTATACAAACTTGGCGAACAAACGCCGTCCTAACTTGTTCGTTAGAAAACATACATTGGGGACTAAAATTTTAATCGATGATAATAATGTAGCGACGGGAGTAGAGTTTGTGACTCAGGACAAGAAAAAAGTGCAGGCGTTTGCGACCCGTGAGGTGGTTCTCTCTGCTGGAACTTTTAACTCACCGCGTCTGCTAATGCTGTCCGGCGTAGGACCGCGCCGGCATCTGGAAGCCCTGCGTATTCCGGTTAAGAAGAACTTACCCGTCGGGTATAATTTCCACGACCACACCATGTCAATTATATCGATTAAAATTGAAGAATCTCACGCTCCCCCCCCATCACCCGACCCGGACGCGCTTCCGTTTCCCTTATTCACGGGCTACGTCGCTCTCAATAAGTCCGAACGCTGTCCAGACTATCAAGCGCTCACTTACGTAGTCCCGAACGACTCGACGGGTCCCCTTCAGATATGCGCATTCATCATCGGCTTCGACGACATCATCTGTCAGAACCTCCTGCTCGCTGGAAAAGGGCGAAAAACTTTATTCGTGAACCTAAACTACTTACGTCCGAGGTCGAGAGGAAGAGTCACGCTCCGAAGCGTCGATCCGTACGACGCCGTCCGCGTCGAACCGCGAACGTTTTCCGACCTCAGGGACCTGGATGAAATGGCGAAGTCTATTGCGGATTACGCTAGAGTAGTAAACACGACTTACCTCAGAAGCGTCGACGCAGAGTTCGTGGACCTTCCGCATCCGATGTGCAGTCACGTGAAGTACGGGAGCGCGGACTATTGGCGCTGCTTTGCGCTCAGCACGATGTCGACTATGTGGCACTACGTGGGCACCTGCGCCATGGGCTCAGTGGTGGACAGCAGGCTGCGAGTTGTCGGCGTGGGGAAGCTGCGCGTGGTCGACGCCAGCGTCATGCCGCGCATCGTGCGAGGCAATATAAACGCTCCGGTCGTCATGATCGCCGAAAAGGCGGCGGACTTTATTAGAACGGAACACGAATTTCGCTAACCCTTGACGAAGTTTAATTTAAATGTACTATTATTTAATTCAAAAGGTTCACCGTTCACCCTTATTAATTGCGTAATGATAATTACGTTCGTTCCTTCAGTGGGCGACCTTCTCGATTTCTATAATTGCGTAAAATCGAGTAATCGCACCGAGGAGCGATCTGACGCCGATCAATGGTTCCGTGAAGTGGGTAAAGACGAGGAACACCTTCGAGGCTCGAAACAAAGGGTAGAAGGACCATTTAAACTTCTCCGATTTCAATATAGTCGGAGCGGGATAGAAAAAGTTTATTTGAAAGGAGACCGCTCAAATCTGGCCCTCCCGTACGTGCTCGGACTGGCGAGTCTGCCTCAATAAATCGCGCCTTTTTTATATCACACCTTGCGACCGCCATGTTTATGCGACCTTCGCGCGTGGAATTCGTGAGATGTGCGACTGTTATCGCCCACTATTGCATTATTCGCCGTCCTACAGCCTGCGGCCTGCGGAACTGCCGCTTCCGCTTATGATTAAGTGTACTGCAAAAGTAATTACGGATAAATGTATATTCTATTGCATTGTCTTGTTTTTTACAAAGTTGACGTTACGTCGCTCTCTAGTGAAACTGAGATAAATCGATACATCTATTTAGCGATCGGTGCCATTTTAATTAGTAATAAAACCCGATCGAACCGTAAAACAATATCAGAAGTAAGACGCGGACGATCTCGCTTACGCCGTAGAAAATCCAATACAATAAAGTGCTTATATTATTTCTCGTGCGTGCATCAGCAAACCCATAAAATTCGTCTAGACGAGTGATTTATTTTCACCTGAGCGAACGCAAAATGTCGGCGAAAAAGTGTTTTCACCTTTTAATTTATTGCGTGACTGTACTTTGGCCATTACATTTATTACATTTTAATGCAAAAAGGTTGTCGAGAGCGGAGGGCTGCTGTAAAAAAATAGTTCACTAGTTTCCACTTTTAACCGACATCTGTTTTGTTCTTGACGTAAATCATTACGGGACTGCGCTGCGTGTGTTTAGAATTCACTTCAAACTCGTCAGTCTCTTAGAGTCTAGTAATCTATGTCCGGGTGTGGAATTGTCGATTGTCGATATGAGATTACGTAAGAAAGTGTTCAGTGAGGTGTGATCGGCGGACGATCGTAAAACGAGACGACGAGGACGTATCGGACCTCGCACAGGGACGCTCCGGCTTAAGTCTCGGGCACACCGGGCGCGAAATACGACACATTCATAGTTTCTGCAATTTCAACTTTAATTACAACAAATGTAAGATCGAATACAAAATACAAAAGTGAACACCGATGGTTTTAGATAAAACACTGATTAATATATTTTACATTTAAAACCGTTAAAAATGTATTAAACATTTTTAACTGCGTAGGCACTCGTACAAACAATAGTCTTTTAGTAAAAATGAACCCGGTGTGAACCAATTCTTTAGCTCCTTATTTTATGGGGATTATACGATCAGGCTCCACCTTGTCAACGTTCTTCCACATACCCAGGTTGGGCCGACGTATAGGCAAACATCAGTGAACGGCCGTCTCGACCCTTGCGCTATTGCAATAAGGCAGAAAGTCGTGCGCAGCGAGGGAATCGGGTGATTTCTTAGAGTGGAGAAAATTGACTTACCCCAGATAAGGCCGGTAATAGGCGGGCAATGTTTTTCTTCCCGAATTACGTTGAGACGTTAAGCGTCCTCTTGTTTACCTTTATTTTGGGTTTTACGATATCGCCCGATTATAGTTGATAGTGGCTACTTGGTTTGAGTTTGAGTTTGAGATAATTATATAACTGATAAATATATAAAACGTACGGTTTAATCGTTTTACCATTTCCCGTATAATTCCGATTGCTTATATTCATGCAAAATTTGGCACGGTACAATAAAATATGGTCTTATCCATACCTGTTGTGGAGCATTGGATGTGTTTGCCAAATAGTGCGCCGAGCCAAATTAGATCATAAAGGTTAATGTCGCTCAGTCGCTTCTTAATGGATTCCGGAGGCATTATTGTGGTGACACGAGTCCAGACGGTGTCCTCGTTACGTCACTTTCGGGATTTTGGAAGGTGACAGATCTGTAGTGGCATGTACAAAGAACCATTTTTATATTCGATATTGGTGATAGGAAGACTGAGGCGAGCTGGGGCGTGGACCTCACCTCTTCCAGTATTTAGAAAATATCATTTATGCACATTGGACAAATGGTTATGGGAATTTTAGATTTATTTAAACTTTAGAAGTTTTCATTGCCTATTTCAAACGATTTATTATTTTATGTCTAGTATATTCTATTGGTGGTGCAAATGAAGATTTTTTATTTTTTTGGCCAGAAATATGTGTCCATTTGTAAAATATTCAATATAGGTCAGGACTCCGAGCATTATTAAACCTTCCTCCCTCGGAACAAGAAGAATAGAGAAACCTCCGATCGGTCGGCAGTTAGGTTACTGCGGGACTTCTATAATTATCGACACCCTTGAGAGCATTGAAATTTTCAATTTAGGGCTATGGTACGCTAGCAAGATTAAGAAAGGAAATAAAACTACTCGTTTACTAATTAGAGGAACCTGCATCGGCATGCAGCCAAGAGCGATAGCACGCGAGGCGGCTAATGGCCACTTACGCCTCGGGTATCTCACCTCCACCGCGCCCTATTTATTACGCCGTCGCAATAGTGCGTTCTCTCACTTTGAAAGTCGCATTACTAAAGCTGAACCGCTTAGCATCGTTCCGACTGCATATCGGGGCATAATAATATTTAGGAACGTTCTATTTCAATTGTGAAAAGAATACAACTTTTATTCGCGACATATTTTTTCTGGAACAGTTTACGAGACAATAATCCTAGAGTATAAATTTCCAAGTGAGATTTCTTTATTTGCCTTGCAAGACACTGCGTTGTGTAACTAACGGAGCGACCCACTCACGAGCGAAGCGATCTGGATATATTGTGTTATGCGGATCTAAACTTCATCGTTACTCATACAGCGTCGTTTCGAATGCCTGCGTCTCGGGTCAATTCAACTTTAGCTACAGATATACTACGAAAATGACATCCACCGAATGAGCGAAATATCAGCTCGGAAAACGACAAGAATCGCTATCTGCGCTTCTCATGGTCGAGGTTTTGAGCGCACCTATCACGGCGCGGGAACATTGCCAAAGTAACCTGCATACATACATACATACAGACGTACGAGGCGCTACAACTTAGATATACACTTAGATTTATTCGCTCTACCAAATTTTATTTCGCAGCGCTAAAGGTTGACAGAAATCGTAATGCAAACTTTTGCGAGTTTATTCGACTACATATTTTACTTTCGATTCCCTTCTTAGCCGAATTATCTGCGAGCGTCCAACGAAACGGTAAACTCGCAACGTCACGTCGTAAGTTAGACGCAAAAGCGACGGGACGTTTATTTACGGGCACATTAGTAAGATTAGATCAATTAACCTCGTATTCGAATTACCTTTTTCGTTTTCATAATGTAACAAGCTGAGTCGTTTCATTTTTCATAGACGAATGCGACATTACATCTGTTGAAGCGACAGCGTGGAACGATCCCCACGCCGCAAGTGACAGATAAGCGTTTCCCCAAATTGGCTAAATTAAGCGTTGGCCGGGAGTATAATGTAAATGTCGCGTTAAAAATTGAAACGCTACCTGACGCGTCGCGCGACATGCCGTCGCGCACGTGACACGCCGCGTCGCAAAAAGCTGTCTAAATGCCCGCGTCGCCAGAATCCTAATTGCGAGTTTCAATTCGCGTATTCACCTTATCGTGGCCGGCCTTTGGAGCTTTTCGCTATCGTTTCCATCCCACATCTACGTTCTGCGGTTCACATGATCGTTATCGAGGACCTGAGAAACGTTTTGAACAAATTTGAGTAAAACAGCAGTGCCGCGCGACGACACACCCCATTGAATTCTTATTTTTATAGCTTTCACCTTCGAGGAAGGACAAATTTATTACTATCTACTTCACGCTCGAATAGGTCACCCGACATCTGCTAGCCAGGTATGATTTAGGACACCTAGACTGCTACGTGTAGGGTCCCCATATCCTAGCTAATGGCTACCGGATTAAAGCACGAGCGAGCAATCTAGATTCGAAAGACCTCGGCAAATATTAAAATTCTATACATTTTATAGTCACACTTATAACTTGTAACAATTCAATCATGTATGTGTGTTAAAAATGTGGAATTTTCGCAGACTATTAGTATGAAATCGAATAGAGAGAATAAAAAAAAAACTAATTTTAAGTCTTAAACGAAAATAATAATAAACCAAAGCGAGTCGCTTAGGTTCATCGAAATGGCTAGAAACCAAAATCGTGGTCAACGCAACGAAGCACAGAGTTTGATACTAAATTAAAGTCACAGCCGTAAATTGGAAAGGCCGTATTTTTAATCTTTGTCGTTGGTCCGTGAACCGCTGAAAACCTATTACGGCGCTGGATTTACGACACCTCGCTACGACTTCCCTAGAATCTTTTGAGACTATGACGTCGCATTATCTCGACGTTTTATAATAAGACATTGCCAGGGCACGCAAATTTCAAACTTAGCTATACCGTTCATTGACAAAATGTTCATTGCCTTTATTGATCATTAAGTACATAGTAGACCTTTATGGTATTAAATACTAACGTGTAATCTAATCGTCCGCGTAAGGCGAAAGGGTGAACGTCGGGGCTAAATATCAGGTGCTAATCGAAAAAGTTTTATTGGCGGTGGGCGCCAACTATTCCGCACAATCGACGCCTCGAGCGAACAATATATAGTCTCACGTCGCTAAAACAAGTCAACGATTTGTATCGATACTCCTCAATTTTCTAGACTATGTCGCGAAAAATAGGAATAAGAAAGTGCAAGACGCAATTAGGCGTAGTTGATAGTCCAGACGCGGGTCGCAGTGCAGCCTCCGACGCATATTAATTCTCCTCGGATATTTACTTCGCGAACAAACAAAATAATACCGAAGCCTCCGCGCCAAATGCAATTACAGGTAGGAAACGTTCTGCGCTGCTTCTCTTATCGCTTCTGTTCGCAGTTTTGTTATTTAAACGGGGAATCGGTCTACCGGTCATTTGACTTTTAACAAATGTTGGAAAGCAGTTCGTTTACACGAGAATCAGTGGAAACTGCTGGTTTCTGATAGAATATTTATCGACGTAAAACAAACCATTTAACGAGTGAACAGGGAAAGGCGGCGGGTAATAGCGCACTATCATTAACAGACAGACGACTAACCCATCGCGGAGTCAATACCTCAATATTTACGAGTTCAGGGGTCTTATTGGCTCTAGTGTTGCCGCTTAGATGTCGATGAACACGTTAACCGTTCCGTTTTATCGCCACATAAACAAATTCTTAGAAATAGGCTATTCGACTAGATTAAGTAAACCGTTTGAAATTGAAGAAAATAAGGTGGAGAAGTGTTATTAATTGTTATTTGGCATAGTGAAAACGATAAAGCGATGGAAACTGGCATTTAATAGGCACGTTCAGTCTGGTGTCGGGTGTGGTACGAGAGGGTAAAATATAAAAGTGGTGTCCTTCGAAAATAGCCGCTTCTTTAGCTATATAAATGTATTTTATAGGATCGTAAATAAATATCGATAGAGTCACGTCTCTGGACGCAACGGCCGTGAGATTTATGCGTTTAGACAAGTGCCCTCGGTCAGGTGCGCTGATTTATCACCTCATCTGCTGCGCGGGGTCGCAACCGGACATTTGTAAATATCCCATGTTTTTCTCTAATATTTATTTTTGCCTTACTCGTAATAGCCTAGTTCATTTAATGGAGGTTAATTTTTCGAGAGTAAGAAAGTCCACGCTTCCTATACGAGTCGCACTTCAGGAAACAGTTTTCTTAGCAGCCGGTTATAAGTAAGTGTCTCCTCCGAAAGGTGAATGCAAACGTGCAAAGAGTGTAACGGAGTTAGGCCAGGGCCGTAATGAGCTCCATCTAATTAGCGAGCTACGTGAGCGCCGTACTAACGCTCGCCTAATGCGCTGCCGTCAGCGCTACTCGAAAGCCCCACGTTACCTCGTTCTTCTGCCAATTATGTCATTCTACGGGACGAATCAGTGTAAGGGAATATATCTCTCCTTAACATTGCAGTTCCACGTTGTTCTAATAAAAATATGTTGTCGGGTAAATATTTAAGCGATAGAGAAACAAAATTAGCATTAGGTACCTGTCACCCGACGTGACGCGGCAGGGCGTGATGAATGGTGGAAAATAAAAATTACGTAACTCAATAGAAAGGCAGGGGAGTGAAGACAATTTATTTGACGCGAGTAACCGCGTGGAAAAATGCTCGATAGGTGATAAAAGAGAGGAATTTCGCAAAGTAATTTTAACACTTCGCGGCGTCGGGACCTCAAAGTATAAGTATATATATACTCAATCTGTATATAGCTACATTGCAAATCTGCGATCTGCGGAAGTGATCAAAGAAGGCGAGTCTGAAATATGACGCATCGGGCGGTGAACGGTGAGGAGGTGCGGTCCAGACGGACGCATTTTCATCTCGAGACATATGACGATATTTACGTGACGACTGCGGTGGCTTCCGAGCTCTGACGCTCGAGACGGCGACTTATGCACCTAAGGCTACCTCGACGAAGTAGACATTGTCGGTAGACTGTAGTTATCTTTAAATTTATGACAGGCGTATACGTTAAAAAAAACAATCTTTGCTCAACAAATATTCTTTGGTATATAGATCATTCCTTAATATCTCGAATTGAAGGAATCATTGTTTTTAATAGAATGAACGCATAATGTCAACAGTACGAAAAACAATATATAAATATTGGAAATCGCATTTCTTTTAATCTCGCGGCACTTAGACACTAAAATAGTTGTATATTTACTTAAGTGGACACTCTGAACTTCTCGTTGAGTAAACGGGGCTCTCTTTGTCTACCTAAACGTTATTTTATCAGATTATGTTTCGGCGAACGCCTCAGTCTACCGTTTTAAAGTACAGTTTTGCGACGAACTAAACGCTAGATCAAATAACAATTTCATATTAATCTTTCCTGTGCGATGTTCGTGTGTCACAAAATTGTCGTTACACAAGTTCAACAAAGCACTACGAGAAACGTTCTCTAAGAACGTACCTCTGGCTACACTCACGCAATTACCCGAGAAAAACATAACTACCCACGAAAACATTACAATTTTATTCCAAAATAAGTTAGCTAGTTTTTTCGTTAGTATACAAGTAAGAAATTGAAAATTAAGAGCAATTTGACTTATTATTTAGACTTCTTATTACTTAGATTCGGTGATCAGACTCCTGTGCCTGCCCAAACTTAACAGTCGATCGGGCTTCTCCAAGATGTGATTTCGCAGTAATCGTAATGTTGAGCGACCCGTTTACAATGAAGGCTGAACTTTAATACACAGGGAAGGTGGAAGGACATTATCAGGCACTGGCCGCCACCAACGTGCCTATTGACTCCAGTAATCGGTTTAGTTCGGCACTAAATCATGTGTAAGCTTTCACCCCCGAATGGAATTTATACGCGACGCCGTCTAAGATATGATGTTCTGCCTGCTGCATTACGCACATATACATATTGCCTATGCTTTTATTATTTTAACAAACGATCTCAATAAAGTAACAGTTGAATATTGACCTTCGTAATCGCTTCCACGTACAGTTACGCCGTGAACGGCTTAGCTCCCTAAATAATATTAGGCCGATTTAATTGGACACATCGGCGTTTCACAATCGATCAAAAGCACGAAGCCGAGTCGA